TTCAGAAAATTCCGGAAATTTTTATATATTATCACTTATACCGATGGGAAATAAAACTTTTAAAATATCTTGAAACTGTTATTAACAGTATAGCGATATTTCGTACATCAAAAACGTATGTATCATATTGAAAAGTTAAAGCACAATAAAACTTGACTTTCAGACCAGAAGTGCCAGCACAGTCAGTTCAGCTGTCTGAAATATCCTAATGTCTCGCCACACCGGCTGTCTCGCCACTGCGGACAACGCCTTACATAAATTTTTTTTGTTCCAACAATAAATAAAATAAATTTTAGTATAATTTTTTGAGGTTTAGATTAATTATAAAACTTGAAAAAAATTATAATTTTAGCAAGATAGTTTATTGTAGAGCAAATAAACAATTATTTTTCGAATTAAATATTTATTTTTAATAAAAATTATATCTTCTTTATATTTCTTATAATAAATTTAATTGTCAATTGAAAATAATTACGTTAAAAAAAATTTTATTGATAACTAACAATTTGAAAAGATTTAACATATTCTATTAACTTACCGCGGTATTGGTCCTTCTTGCAGCTTTCGTCTTCGTCGGCGGTTTTATCGCCTTTGTTGATGTCTTAGTTATTTTTCCCATTTGATGACTTTTCCTATAATTAATATACAGTTTTATATATATATGAACAGCTTTATTTTTAAAAGAATTCACAATTTTAAGAAATTAATTTACCCACCATTTATTCCTAAAGCTTGAACGTCCACAGCGTAATGAGAGTTGACATTGGCAACAGAGTTGACACTAGAGTTGGCACGCACTGAAGTGGGGCATCATCCAATCGCCGTAAGGTAGTCAAATCTGCAGCCAATCCGGTCGCATGATTTTTTCCGATGTAGCTTTTGCAGAAATCTAATGTTTCTCTTATAGAAACACTGTATATTTTTTGATATATATCGATCTGTTTTGAAAAGATGCGTTGAACAAAAATATTCAGTGCCGTACGATGTATTTGGTCAGAATTATTCCGACACAAAATTTTTCGTAACAATTGTTACATTGTACCACCGGTGATAATATTATTGTTTATTGTTGTTACAAACCAAAAATTTATTTATTTAAATTTTATAATTTAAATCGAGCTTTTGAGATGGCCCTAAATTTTAGTTTGGGGAGGCACCAAGCTGCCAAGTTCTGAAGGACCTTGTTTAATTTTTGTGGGGACGTTATCTTACTTTTAAAAGTTGCGCTCTGCTTCGTTGTTTTTCTTTGAATGATTGGTTGAAAATCAATTAGTTATGGTGTTAAAGCAAAAGGAGTTCAGTTGAAAGGTAAGTAAAATTTAGTAATTTTATTTATATTTGTTCTTTTATTCAGGAAAGAAAATATTGTGGTTAACAAGTGAATTTAAAAGTTTAATACAAATAAAGTGGTTAATGTTGAACGATACAGAATTTACTTACGACTACCGACGTCAGCTAGAGATATTCTTGTTGTCGTCGGGCAAGAACGCTTTTAATTACACTTAACTTGGTTGTCTTTACAACCTATTGTTCGAATTTTACAGGTTAAAATTATTTGGTTTACCCGAATAAATGTTTTTAACACTGCGTTGTGGGGCCACTGTAACGAAACGGCGCAGGCGCTACACGCACGGACTGGCCGGTTATTTATTAAACAAAATTCGATTTAGTAAAATACATTTACTAAACCGAATTTCTCCCGCTACAGCTCTCACGCGGACTTCGTCGGTTAAAAGACTTCTATTTTATTTTTCGTCCGCCTTTCGTGTTATACTTTTAATCTAAGTTCTACACGGGGGTCCGACGCGCAGACGGGCTAAGTCGCGGCGTTCTTGAGGTCTCGCAACACTTACCAGGCTAGAGCCAGGAGATGTTGCTCGGAAGAGTCAAGAAGTTGTACTGCAATTAATTAAATTTTTCGACTAGCCTCTAGTCCTTGCCTTCAGTGTCAAGGTGGGGAAAACGAAAATTTAGATGGAAGTAGGGGAAAATTCCTGGGCCCGGTGGGAGTTGCAATTTTGCTGATCTTTTTGATTCCCATGCAGGCTCCGTGAGAACGGAAATGGTCTGTTAATATGAGACATTTCTGAAAATTATTTTAAAATAATTAAATTAAATTATAATTTACTTAACAAAATTATAATTTAATAATATAAATTATAATATTATTTAACAAAATTATAATCCAATTCCATTATAAATGGTGCAATAATTTATTGCAATTATTACAACCCATATAGAGGATAGCAAGTAGGTTGCGCATCCAATTGTGAATATATCCATATCTATGACCCATGGTTTTCCGTTAATTTGTTGGAAACAAAGTTGCAACAAATGTGTGTTAAATAAAAGAGTCTTCTGCAATTGGGCATATAATACTCCAAGGCAACATGCGTTCGCATATAATACCGGATCAGCTGTTGGAAATGCACGTGCTTTTGTTTTGGTGCTATGTTTACAACTTGCGGGCCCGGAGGGGTGAAGGAAAGGTTTTACGCACAGATAAGGCAGCGAGTAGAGGCAAGCATTGCGCGTGTGTGTTAGTGCCTGTAGCACGACGAGTCCCATGGTGGTGTGAGTCTTGTAACCGAGAACCCACGAGCGCACCGTAGTTTATGCACGGCTGTTTCGTGTCCGTATGTGTTGCGCTGGTCGTCCCCCCACATATACACCACAAGCGGTGAGTTGTATATGTTCGAATGTATATTTTCTTTTTTTTTTTTTTTTTTTTTTTTTTTTTTTTTTTTTTACTATTACATATATATTTTCTTTAATATAATTCCTTTTGTATTCGTTACATCATTTTTCTTATAAAACGTAGTCTTGTTCGCGCAATGTTGCATCTCGACATTTTCTTCGCAACATTGCTGCAGCAAATACGCGTGGTGCTTGAACGAGGTGGATGACTAATATTGCAACTATGTTGATTTTCGCCATGATGCTTCACAACATTGTTACAATGTTTCCAATAATAAAAGACATATGTAACGATGATAAAATAGATATGCAACCTTGCGACAGTGATATTTTTCGCAATCTGGCTTCATAACACTGTCACAAGGTTACCCTCTAGAGACATATTTTTTTTTTCTTTTTTTTTTTTTAACTTAATTTACTATTACATATATATTTGAAAGAAGGGTGCCGAGCAAAGAGTATTAGCGAGCTGCCGACGGTTCCTTATCAGGGTGTCAGGTATCCGTAAACAAGATCTTGCCTCTCATAGCGAGTCTTGTCGACGAAAAGAGATTAAAATATAATAGGCAGTGTTGCCGAATATTAATTGAATTTTAAATGGTTGCAGTGAAGCAACTAAATATGTAACAATCCACCGTGGAAATTCCGTTTTCCGTCCCGGAGAACTCGATACTCTTTGCTCGTAACCTGATAATGGCACAAGGTTTTCTTATTTCTTAAATCTATTTTCCCTTCAAAGATTAGTCAGTTTATACATTACGGCAACACAGCGTAAGCATGGTGTTTCTTATTGTATGACTAATCCTTGATACGTTAACAAAGGTTTAGTTTCGCATCCGCTGTAACTCAAAGTTGTCGACGGTAGTTCATGAATTGGCGCAGGGAAAGAACAAGCGACGGCTCGATTCCTCTTTTCGTATTAAAACGTGAAGTGCAAAATCGTGAAAGTTTAAAGTGTGGCTGTGTGAAATAGATTTTCCCCTTTTTTTTTTTAATTAACTATTGTACTCCCACTTCATAATGTCCCAATCATCGACCCGTGCCGGGCAACATGCCTCCCTTCCCTCATTCTTGGGGGTCGTGATGGAGATCTAAAAATTAGAGTGCCCTCCGAAAGTGGAAGAAGGCCTGCTTTCCGTGAATGCGGAAAACATCCAGGAACATCCGGAAGACGTCGCTTTGGATAAAAGATTCGCCTAGCGATGGCGGAGTTGGCGGTTCGGGAGGGAGAGGAAGACAGGAAGAATTCGCTCTCCAGAGGGTAAGTTACTCAAACAAAGTTGTTCTCTTTTCCCCTTTTTTTTTAATTAATAAGAAACTATTACACGGGTAAAACTGCTTATATTACTGGAATTATAGAAAATAATACCGTACTGTTAAATATTTATGAGTTGATATCGATTTGACGAAATTTTATTAATTTATAGTTTACTATTATGATACATTATTTTCTAACACTAATAAGATTCTTCACAACAGTTCAAGTCCTTACAAAAAAAACGTTTTTTTTTTTTTATATATTTTCCTTCTTAGCAATTTCGATTATCTCTAAAAAAAAATTCCTTGCACACAAAATTCATTTCATCTAAATAAACCTGACTATCATCAAAGAAATACTTACACGAACCAATTAATTCCCCTTGAAACAACTAAACAACACCTGAATCAATAATTTAACAAATTTCGAAAAAATTTCATTCAATTGACCCAAACAAAACTAAATATTAATATATATTAATTATATTATTAATAAGTATTTGATACAGCCAAGTAATTCATTATTCGAATTAGACAGCTTTCCTTTTTTTTGTGCAGAAATTTAATAAATTTAAATACGATTTTAATCAAATTTCTCGAAGCAAGGCAATTATTATTATTATTATTTTTTTTTTTTTTTTTTTTTTTTTTTTTTTTTGAAACTTATTCATGGTTAATTTTGCTGTAAGGGTGAATGTATAAAATCTTCCTTTCGGGTGAGATGAGATTTCGAATGGAATTCTTTGTATTTCTCTTTGCAACTTTTATTTTCTCATTAGGCTGATAATTTATGACGCCCGAGTGGGGGGTCGGTAGCAGTGAGCGCGTTCAGTGTCGCCGGGACGTGACAAATTCCCGAAAACGATACAATGCGCTTTTCTTAGATCTTAAGTGGTCTGTTTCCTGTTTAGATTTTAAATACTTAACTGTGACGTAGTCCACTATCTTAATGGGAAAAGAACCACGAAATTTGTTTCTCTTAACTGCATTCAGCTTTGAAAAAAAAAACGAAAGCAGTTAGTCTAAGACAAATTGTCGTGTCGTTCATTTTTCGGGTAAGGTTTGTGACACAAGTGTTTCTCTGATTTTTTTTTTATTGAAGGAATGTATAAGGGCATATCTCTAGAACCCTTAACTTTAATGTCCCTCGCATATATTTTGGTAATTTTAATAAATTTTTTGTTGATTTTTGTTGGAAATATTAATGCTTGATACAATCAATCATTTCCAAAAGATTCCACTTTAATTTATTAAATACATAAATAATTATTTCAATTTTAATACGCGATTTTTAACAATGTCTACTTGTCCTTAACCATACTTTCTGATGCTTTAAACGATATAGTTTTAGATTTAATAAAAAATTACTAATTCTGAAATTTTTTTTTTTTTTCAATGTTAATTAATCGGTGAACACATTTTCGCACGGAAATTAATATTTTATTAATTGTGAAAAAATTTATAAGCTTTTAAAAATTGTCCCTCACTTTTAACCTTTTCGACCGTAATCATCGTATTTATGATTTTTCTTTTGTAAGACAAGCGGCACGTTAAAATAACTTATGGGAAATCAAAGATCAAGTTACTATAATTATTTTGAGACATAATAAATTGATGTGCTTCATGTCTTCAAAAAAAAACTATTATAAGTTAAATAAACGAAAACACGCGTGGACAAAATTTGAAAACAACCGTAATACGAGTGATACTTCATGAAAATCATATAAAAGTATCCGAAAAGTACTGATATATATTTTCACATGTGCCATTTAACATCCCGTGAATGTGCTTCGAGAAAAAAAATGCTTTATTGCAAAGATAATGTAAAAATATTCATCAATTACGGTCGACCGTAATCGACCGAAGTTTTTTAGAAAGAAATTGTTATGTACGAAGTTGCCGATTATAATTTTTTTTATAGAAACTGTCATTAATTATTAAAACCTGAAGGTTAAGTTTTAATGTTTATTTCGAGACACAAAAATGGATCCAAAAAAATTCATTCTGAAAAAAAGATGAGATGCGAGAGAAAAGAAAAATAGAAAAGAAAAAAAAAGAAAAGAAATTGGAAAGTTTACGAATATTAATTTTCAATAGAAAAAGTCTATGAAAATCGTATGGTAAATTTTAAAAATTACAATTTTACATTTTTAAAACAATTCACTACAATAAAAATCTATTTTAAAATGTAATGTAAATATTCAAATAAAATTTTTATATATCTAGTTAATTTTTTTTTTTTTTTATTTTTGACACATGCTTTTATACCAGTGCATTATTTCAGTATTTTATTATTCATATAAATATTGAAAATATTAAACGAATTTTATTGCTTTTTTTTTTAATTATAACCCCTTAGAAAATTTCCTTCAACTGTTCTTTATCCTAAAAGCAAACACCTGTTGAATATTTTTTTGTTACAGGTTAAAAATAATTCTTAATTTTAAATATTTATAACTTTTTGAAGACAACTTGTTTTATCTGTCCACTTGTATAATTGGAAAGCTTAGTTCTTGAAGTTTACGTAGACAGAGTTTCAATACTGTGCTAAAAAAAATTTTTTCTTATTGAAAAGTTAAAGGTTTCAAAGATATGCCCATAAGTGATTGGGTGGAAGCTTTGCGGCAGACGGGTTGTTGTCAGTGAGTTTCCCCTCTTTTTTTTTTTTTTTTTTTTTATTTTATTCTTTATGTATATGTATACTGCTTGAGTAAATCGACGATAACTTGGGCAAGGTTAGAGCAATTTTCATCTGGGAAAGCTTAAACTACTCTACAGAGTCTTATCCTCATTTCCCGACTAGGCGTATTCAAGGTGATTTTTCATCCGGAGTGCCTGAAAACGGGCTGTGAAGTGGCGCTATCTAGAAGTTCGAGAAATCTCGTCTAGTCGAAGTAGAGTAGTTAATTCTTTGTTCGTTGTGACTGATTTCCTTTCCCCTTTTAAATTTAACTTGATTTTAATTAATTGTTCATCCTTAAAAATAAAAATTTGTTTTCCCTTTTTTTTTTTTTTTTTTTTTTTTTTAGCTTATATCAAATGGAGGGAAGATCCACAAGATCGAAAGGTGCCACTCTCGAGACTGGTCTCGAGTTTTATCGACCTTCCAGCAGTAAGGACAACCGTCCGGATCTTTACGAGCTTTACAAAAATTTGGATGTCCGCTATTTTAATGGGGAATTGAAACGGGCGGGATTTACCGTAGACTGGGGGCAGAATATGAGGAGGACTTCCGGGTTCACAGATACGAAAAAGAGATACATTCGTATCAGCTGGGAGATTCACAGCTTGCTACCGGAAGAAGATCTTATGGCGACTCTCCTACATGAAATGATCCACGTGAAGTGCTTCCAGCACAAGTGGGATGCTAGCAGTCACTGGCATTGTGGCAAGTTTGTCGAAGAAATGGAGAGGATAAATAAGATTGGGCCCTACAAGGTAAATTCCTTTTGTGAATTGTTTAGTGGAGCTCAGCTCAACTATATATTATCTCTCTTTTTTTTTAATAACTGTAAAGAGAAAAAAAAAAAAAACAAACACTCTTCCCTTTTTTTTTAGGTGGTTCTTAGTCACGAGCTGCCGGAAAAAGTTTATGAGAAGTTGCATCCGCACGAGTGGAAATGCCGTAGTTGCGGTTACATCATTCAATTGACGACTCGCACAATACCAGGTCCAAAAAACCAGCATCCCACAAAACAAATTAAAAGTTGCGAGAATCCCTTGTGGGAAAAATTGTAGAAGAAAATGCAAGTATTTTTTTTATATTTTTTTTTTTATTTTATTTATTTATTTTTTTTATGGAATCGATAGTAAATTTGTACATTTATTCTTTTAGCCTTTTCTCCGCGTTGCCAAGGATGGCACCTTTCGAAGGATACCAGACCATTGAGACGTCCTTAGCCGGATTTTAAAAGAGGTGGAGGAAGAAAGGAACCGCGCGATGAAGGGGGTGCCCCGAGCTACGCCCCGGCACGAGTACAGTTTAGGACAGGTGTGCCCGTTCCGTCGCTGCGCCAATTTCCCTCTTTTTTTTTTAAGAGAAAAAAAAATTAAAGATAAAATAAAATAAATAAAGAAAATTTCACAATTACAATTTAAAGGGTTATTAGGCCCTTTATGATAATGACATTTCACTTCTTTTTTTTTTTGAATAAATGAGTTTTGCATCTAATAAAATATTTATTGCTTAATTATAGCGACCTTGTGACTCACTCCATCTTCTTCCACCTTTTTTTTTTTAGTGAGATATTATTTAGTAAAATTTAAAAAAATTGTGTCTTTAATTGAAATGAAATTAACTTTTAATACAAAATCTGACCCTTTCTTTAAGTTTTGATTATTTTGAATTTCATTTTACCTTAAATGCTTTTATTAATAAGTGAAATATTGTTTTCAAAAGAAAATGTTAATATTCAAGTTATAAATACTCAAATGTTTTTATCAAATTGTTAATCGGTTCGAGATTAAACGTTTACTCAGCTTCATGGTTGATCTTCGAGGTCGATCTTCCGGACGTTACTGATGATCAACAATGTCGGGTTGCTTTATGGTACACCTTGGAGAATTGGGCGGTGCCTTCACCCGACAGAATCTTCCTCGGCATAGGCTTCGAGGATCAATGATCCTAATCCTTCGGACAGTCATCTGATTCTTCGTTGTTGTTTATCTTCGGTCGTTGCAGACTTTTGTTCACTCTGGTTAACGTTGTTTGTGGAGCTTGGGCGCAACACATCCTTAACTTTCACTGCTATTTCCTCTTTGGAAGAAACTGGTCTATCTGAGGATGGTGTAATTACTTCATATAGTGCTTCTGCTGTTGCTGGTAGTTGGGTAGCACGGTCGGGTTTCTTTTGTGCTGGTAGTTCGAAATTACCACTTGTCCTTTTGATGTTCAATACTCGAGTTAAATTGTTAGAATTACCCTTGAGTGATGTGTAGCAAAAATACAGCATCATTATCATAAATAGTAGAATCAATCCTCCATACGAGCCGTACACTAGAATCTGATTTTCTCCCTTTAGGTGGCGTTGAAGGGAAAATTCCTGGAGTTGTTGCTCTAGCTCGTCCAAGGTTTTGGAGTTGATCTCGAAACTGGAGAATTTAGGTTCGATCGCAGGGCCAGATCCAAGTGGGATATCAGATTTCTGCAGCAGGTGTCCATATTTTGCCAATAATGGCGACAGTATAGTAAGATTTAAGTGTAGCTCCGATTCGAAAATAAATTCCGATTTTCCAGCTTCGGAAATTGTAGCCGGCACAATAACGTCCCTTGTTTTCACGGAACATCCCGGGGCCAGTTTTAAGATTCCGGTACCTTGGAGGGATAATTTGGTGGGGCTGATAGAATGACAGGCTATGATCACAACTTCCGGCGCAGCGAAGGAGTATAACCATCCTCCTATGGTTAATAAAGGTTCCCAGTGTGATTTCGGGTTGGTAGTTACCTTGATATTGCAATTCTTCAAGGTATGAATTGTTGGATTTATCAGCAACTGGGCTTCGCAGGATGGCCTCTTCTCAAAATCGTAGATTGGAGTACCCTTCAAACATGCGTGGCCTTGCAAGAATTCCAATCCGTTGCTTTCAATAACAGGTAAGTGCGTTGATCCTCGTCTATGATGAGATAGTCGTATTCTGATTTTATATATGCTCTTCCAGTCCCATTGTTCAAAGAGTTTTGGACTGTTGGGAGCGAGTGGATTTTATAAGATTGATAGTTGTATTTTTCTAGGAGTGGGATGTCCAGGAGGATTTTGAGTTGGTGATTTTCACAAATGGTTGTAACGACAGAGATGCGCATTAGTTCGTCAATGCTGATCCTTGGTCCCGTTAGAGGAAAATTGACATCCTTCAGGTTATCCTGGATCTCTCGCAGAATGGGTTCCAATTGTTCTGAAGTGATGAGGCCAGGATGGAGTTGGCCCTTCCTTGATTCGTGGACCGCATCCAACATCGTAACCATTGCCTGGATGTTATGATCCAAGCCCAACCTCAAGGCTCTCGCCACGGCGTACGTCAGGTTCATTCGCTCCATTTCTTCCTTCGATGTTTGATGAACCTTGACAAGTAGGGATTGAAGTTGGTCCTGCAAATTCTTTAACAGTACACCATGTCGTTGGACCTGACAATGTAAGGAATCCAACTGCGATCTCACAATATGTGTCTGCTTTCCGACCAGATGGGATAAGTTGGCCTGGGCCTCGTTAAGATTTTTGATGGCGGTATCATATTTTTCTCCATCATCATATGTTAGAACTCCAGCTATTGGTCCCGCGATTTTTCCCAGAAATCCAAACAGGGGAACGGATCGTCTTGCTCGTAACTGCGAGGACATCTTTCCAGGTGAGGTCATTTTGGTATTTTCAAGTTCTTCCACCTGGGTTCGGAATTGTTTCTGCAACTCCGAGGCCATTTCCCATCGGTCTTCCCATTGATATTCACTTGTTAATTCTCTGCACCAATCTTCTTTAGGTTTGCATTGTTCCGTTAGTCGCTGCAGTCTGGCCTTTAAGTCGTCGAAGAATCGGCTATGTTTGCCGACATCCAGGAATATGGTGATCCTCCAATTGCTGACTGATCGTCTCACAACGCCGATATATTCGAAGTACATTCCACTACTGGCTTCAAGTGGAAGGTTTTGGTAGCTGCTGTAGTCGGTGGATTTGTCCAGTGGATCCGGTCCATCCTGCACCGCCAGTGCTACAAGGCTGGAAATTAGGCACAAAGGGATGACAGTGCGGGCAAACATCTGGATCGATTTCAACATCGCTATCTGAAAATAGAATTTCGATTAGTTGATGTGCAGTTGAGGTTCAAATTCGAGCAACCATGACCTTGTCGCGATGTTTCGAAAATCGCGCGCCATTTTCGATTTCTAGGATCACATTGTTGTTTTCGGTGAATCCTACAATGGTAAAAGGACCATCTGCTCGTCTATCAAATTTGTTTGTTCGAACTTCCTTGTAAACGTAAACCTGATCTCCTACTTTAGCTTTTAAAGGCTTAGATTTCTTATCGTAAATTTGCTTTGACCTTTCCTTCGCTTTTACCAAATATTTGGCTGCAAGATTTTGTAGTTCATTCATTCGGGTAATGAGGTCCTTTAAATAGGAGCCATACGTTTCGACTTCTGGACCCTGAGGCAGGGAACTAGGGGTTCTTGCCAAATGACCGAACACGAGTTCAAATGGCGTAAAATTCGTAGCCTCGTGAACTGACGTGTTATAATTAAACATGGCAAATGGAAGTAGACGATCCCAATCGTCGTAGTCCCTTGCATAATGCTTAATATAATCCGTCAATTCAATATGGCTTCTTTCCAGTGCTCCATTTGTTTGTGGTCGGTAGCCAGAAGTGGTAAGCTGTTTGACACCAAAGATCTTTTCTATTTTCCGCAACAAAGAGCTCACAAAACTTGCTCCTCTGTCCGTAAGCACACAGCGAGGTGCTCCAAAGACAGAGAAAAGATTTGTTGCCACTGCGTGGGCGATAGTTTTGGTTTCTATGTTTGGTATTGGAACCGCAATACAATACTTTGAAAAATTGTCTTGCATTGTAAGGATATGCCGATTTCCATTTGGGGTCGTTTGTAATTTTCCTACTGTGTCCAATGATACCTTGTCGAAAGGCATTGCTGGAGTGTCGGTGATCAGCATGGGTTCCCTAGTTCGTGCCTAACCAGTTTATTCTCAAAACAGCTTTTGCAGCCACGAATATACTGTGTGACCTCGTCACGCATTCGAGGCCAATAATATCGCTCTCGAATTCTTCGGTAGGTTTTCGATATACCTTTATGCCCACCGATTAGACTAGAGTGGAATTCGGCAATGATCTTGTTACGCAAAGCTATTGGGGGCACTTCTATTTTTCCGTGGCAAAGGGCGATAGAAATATCACCACCGCGGAAAACTCCTGTGACAAGTTCTGTCATCTTTCCTTGTGGAATCACGCCTAACAGATCTCCTGTGTTTGCCATTCTGCATGATTTTTGGTGGTCAGATTCTAGGGCTTTTCTTAAGTTATTTAGTCCTTTTATAACATCCTTCCAACAAACTTCATCAAAATGACACCTTTTTACAACAATAGAATAAACTTTATATTTACCATTTTGGGTGACATGAATTTGTCCCTTCACGGGTTTACGGTCTCTAATCTCTTGGAGATCAATACATTCGGTAGCGATTAAGAGTTTAGATATCGGGTTTGTAGGTTCGCAATCTTCCGATATGAAATGGGCGTAATTGTCACGTTGGTAAGTCAGGGGTTCTGTCCATTTATTTGAGACGCATTCATGAATTCTTTCTTTTAAAGGATCACGATTTTTAATTACACTATCACTTTCACTTTCACTTATTATTTCGTTCTCACTTTCCGATTCAAGAGAAAAGGGGTCCAGGTAAGGTTCCCTAATGTCTATAAATGATTTGCTCAAGAGATGATCAGTTAACTGTGTGGAGTCCTTTTCTGTCTGAATTCTCCTTGGCTTCATAATGGATCCTTTCCTTACCACCTTCTCTTCTGGTTCGATAACATTAGTTCTGAAACGGGACAAAAGGGGTGGATTGTGCAAACGGTATTGATGAGGGCCCTGGAGTGGTGTTTTCGGGCAACGTCTGTTGTTCATCTTGTGAGACCTCGAATAATTCCGGTAATTCTTTGAATCTAACGATACTTCCTTTCTTAGATTCACTTGGACGGCTAGTTAGTGGGGTTTCCTTTGAATTTACTGTGAGTGTTGAAAGTGGCCGGGGATCTGAGGGAATGTCAAGCATTTCCACGTGTTGCTTTTCCACTCGGCTTCGATTAAATTCATCCAAGAATTTTTTAACTCTTTCCGGAAGTCCGTCTTCGTATTCAGTCGCAAGGTCAAAACTGTTCAAATAATCTAAATGCTCCTGATCATCTTCACCATCGGAAACATATTGTCTTCTGGGAGTTTGATCTAATCCTTCATAGTCCCAAAATAAAGTGTTGTTTGTAGGATTAGAAACATTCGTTGGCGCACCGGCTAACGATTCGTTGAATTTATAAATAGATTCATTCACACCTTGAATCAGCTTCTGTGTTTCGGTTTTAAGCTCTTCTTCCTGATCACAGGATTCACTGCTGATGTTGATTCTTCGTTGTCCCTTGATGATCACTTGATCCGGAGGTAACTCTTCGGATTCCAACTCGGACGATGATGACGAATCCGGCTCGGGGTCTTTCAAGGTCCCTTCTCTTGCCAATTGATCGGCATTCTCATTACCAGGAATTCCTTCATAACCAGGGACATGTTCCCAAATTACATCGAGGGGTTCGAGAGCTTTCATTAACTTTTCATATACTTTTCGGTTCTTAACGGGTTTATTTTCCGTAGTTTTCCAATCGTTTCGTTGCCACCTTGGAACCCATTCCTTTACACTCTGCACTAGATATTTTGAGTCCGTCTTGATTCTCAATTTTCGGATTCCAGCTTTCCTTGCTTGTCGCGCAGCGACGGTAGCTGCTTCGATTTCTGAAGCGTTGTTGGTCTGCTTACCCTTGTAGCGCTGTGAGATGTTGAGGGGATGATTAGGTCCGAACCAAACACCGATTCCAGCTCTCGGGCTGGATCCTCCATTTTCGCAGCAGGCTCCATCGA